ACTGCCCCCATAGGGCGTCCCGGGCCTGGATGACGCACACCACGTGGCTACCCTGTGAACGGACCCTTGTGTGTGTGTGTGTGTGTTTATGTAAGTGTGTGTGTTATGTTTTGTGTTTATGTATACATATATATATATATATATATATATATATATATATATATATATATATATATATATATATATAATATATATATATATATATATATATATATATATATATATATAATATATATAATATATATATATATATTATATATATATATATATATATATATATATATATATCTATATATATATATATATATATATATATATATATATATATATATATATATATGCGTTTGTGTGTGTGTGTGAAAGATATATAGATAGACAGAGAGAGAGAGAGAGAGGTTGAGGGAGACAGACAGGCACATTGCTACCCCCAGAGAAGCGAAAGCGCGGGAAAAGCTCATTTTTGCACACTCGGTGCTGACCCCTGACCTAGGACGTCGCTGGCGCATTGCTGACAGAGGCCGCGGCAGCAGCCGGGCTGGGCATGTGAACTGGCTGAGACCTTGTGGCAGAAGCTTCTAGTCTGCCCGCTCCCTAGGGGGTGGTTCGAGAGGCTTTCTAGGGTTTACTAGAGCTGTGGCTGTTTTGCTTGGTCGCTTTCACTAAACAGCAAAGATGGTTGATGTTTAAAATAGTTCATTGATGGTTTATTTCGTTATCCATTGTCATGTTATATATACTATTGCAATAACAAAACGAAGATGATTAAATGAGAGAAAATATTGTTGTTATCACTCCTACACTCATTATCGCCCTCTCTAATACCATCATATCTGTTGCGACATTTATTTTTCCACCTCTCTTTTCATTCATTTACATATCCTCCTTCGTAACTGTGCCCCAAGACCCTCCCTTTTCCAGTCTCTTTCCTCCTTTCTCTCTTGTTCGCCGCGTCCTTATCTTGCCCTTTTCTACCCCAGCGCCCGTGCCATGGCCCGCCTCAGCATCATGGACAGGCTGCTCATTGCCCTCGGGCCGCCCTTCAGTGAGAAGCTTCCCAAGGCGCCCACCAACGACACCCTCGCCACCGTGCCCACGCCCATCAACATCACCGCAGAGCCGTGCCCATACAAATACAAGGTGAGATGCTGTGTTTTTTTCTGTTCAAAGGGGCAATATCATTTTCCTTATCCGGTCTTTTTACGCAACCTCTTCGTTTTTTTCTGTTATCTAAAGCTTTACTCAACACCACTTTTGACTATCAACTCGCTGAGGAAGCCATCTTGCGCTATATTTATCTCTGTTGATCGCTTAATTAATTTGATCCCTGTGCCCCGCCCGGACGGCCCCGTGACGCTTTCTTGCCCCGCAGAGATGCTCCTCGCAGACGTTCTTCCCTTCATGCGACATCCCCCGCAACACCGACCCCGCCGTGTGGCCGCAGAGGTTCAACCTGTTCTTCAACCTCTCCACCGACTTCGACAACAAACTGGACGTGATCAACGCCACGCTCCGCCTCTTCAAGAACAGCACCGTTCCCTTCAACTCCCCCCAGACCCTCCTGATCAAGGTCTTCGCCTACACACGCAGCCTCACGCGCAGACGAGGTCAGTTCAGATGCATTCTACTCCGCGTTCATGGAATAAATAGACAGACGTTGCGGCTGACTAGTTAATCGATAGTTGGGAGGGATAGACACAGTTTGACAAAAAAAGGCACGTCTCCACCGAATTTCTCCTGACAACCCTTTCTTCGTCCCACTCCTGTAGCCAAGACACAGCTGGTGGCCGACGCTCAGGTGTCCAGCGACTACATCGGGTGGGTGTCGCTCTCCGTGGACAGGATGGTGCGCCGCTGGAAGAAGCAGAGGAACAACCACGGCCTCTTGGTGACCGTGACCGACCCCAACCAGATCCCCTGGGACGCCCCCAAGCTCTTCGTGATCATGGACTGCGCCTCCGGTAATACCAGTGCGTACCGCCATCGCTTCTGCTGTTCCCGCTACTACTTCCCTCTTCTTCCTCTCTTCTCCCTCGTCTCTCTCTCGTCAGTGGATACATACACTCTATAGTTCTGGTCTTCGAACATCCTTTCTCTCTCTCTCTCTCTCTCTCTCTCTCTCTCTCTCTCTCTCTCTCTCTCTCTCTCTCTATATCTATGGACATAAATTTCTAATTTACTAATCCTCTAACTCACCTCTTCTCTCTCTCTCTCTCTCTCTCTCTCTCTCTCTCTCTCTCTCTCTCTCTCTCTCTCTCTCTCTCTCTCTCTCTCTCTCTCTCTCTCTCTTTTCTCTCTCTCTCTCTCTCTCTCTCTCTCTCTCTCCTCTCTCTCTCTTCTCTCCCTCTCCCCCCACCCATCCACCAATCTTTCTCCCTCCGTCCATTTTTTTCTCCCACCCCTACTCCTTCTTCTCTCTCTTCCCTCTTTCTCTCTCCTCCGTTCCCCCGCCTCATTTATCTCTGACTAAGACTTTCAGGATAACACTGCTGGCACTAGGCTCTCGGCTTTTGCTTCTTTTAACCCCAATTTCGTCTCGTATTTAAACGTGAGTGTGATGATGATGATGATGATGATGATGATGGTGATGGTCGTGATAATACTGTAGTGTTGATGATGGTGATGATTAACTTAAATATTAGCAACAGATTAAGATAATGGTAATTATAGTCTCGATGATTAAACAGATGGTTATTATGTTAATGTTATAATGATTACAACAATAATGGTCGTAATACTGATAATAGTGATAATCACCATCATGTACCACTATCATCATCAAGCTCGTCATCATCATTATCATAATGGTTATGATTATACCGATGATACTAGTAACAATAACACCATTGATAATCTTATTAATAATATGATACTTACAAGTGATCGTGATATTCATAAGCATAACATGATGATAACAATAATGCCTGCAATAATGATAATGATACTGACCAGAATGGCACTGGAAAGAGTGATAAAGTGGTAATAATAATGATATCAAACTAGACTGATGATAATAACCAAATAATAATCACAGAAATAAACTATTATGATAACTGTAACAGTTTTGGTTATATAACAGCATCATTATTATGATGCTACCAGTGATAACGATAAGAATAGTAACAGTGATAATGATAATAATGGTGATGATACTGATATTAATGATAATAATATTGATATTGATTATATTGATAGGAATAGTAATAATAGTATTGATGCTAATAAAAGTAATAGCGATAATAACAATGATACTGATGATAATTATAATGATGATAATGAAAACAATGATGATGATGGTAATAACAATAATGATGATAATAGCAATGATAATGATAAAAAAATATAATGATAGTAGTGATAATGGAAATGATACTGATAATGCTAACAATAATAATGAAAATAGTGATGATGACACTATAGATTCTAATGAGAATAATAAAACTAATGATAATGAAAATAGTTACAATCATGACAATGACATCAATACTCATGATAATGGTGTTAATAATGACAAAAACAATCGTAATAATGATAACAATAGTAATGATGATAATGATAATAATAACAATAATGGTAACATCGTTGATGCTAACAACATCAAAAACAATGATAATAATGATAATAATAATAGTAGTAGTAATAGTAAGAACAAAGATGATCATGATAGTTATGATCGTGATAATAAGGATATTGATGATAATGGTATTAATGATGATAATAATAATGAGGATGGCTATTGTTATATTGATCATAAGGTTACTGATAATAATAATAATGATAACAATAATGATTATGATAATGATTATGATGATAAGTGTAATAGTAATATTGATAATGATGATAATGCTATTATTAACAATAGTAATAATGATAATGAAAATCTAATAAGACACTGATGATGACAATGATAATGGTAATGATATTAACAATAACAGTGCTGATGATATGAGAACAATAGTATTAGCAATCCAACTGTCATGCCAATGATAACGATGATTAGAGGAATGATGCTACGATATTATCATTATCACCATTATAATTATAATTGTTATTACATTATTGTAGTTATCATTATCATTATTATTAGTAGTACTATTATTTTTGTTACATTATTAGTATTGTTATTATTGTAATTATTGTTATTATTATTATCATCATGACAATTATCAATATTGTTTTTATTATTAGTATCATTATTGTTATGATGATTATTATGAAAATTATTGACAGCTTCATTATTGTTTTGACTGTTGCTGTGGTTCTTGTTGTTGAAATATTTTTTTCTTTGTAATTACCACTTCTCCACTCTTTACACTATATTGTAATTATCATTTTTTTCAATCTAACACTCCTCTTTAATCTTTGCCTGTATAAAAGCATGGTCATTATCATTTGCTTTTTGATATTTGAATGTTGCTCACGTATCGATTTTGTTTTTCTTCTGTGAATAGGCACTGTTTAAGAGTTAGTGAGAGAAATGTTGAATGTTGAAATAATGATATATAGCCACGTTTGGCCAAAGCAGGATGGCGCGTATCTTCACGGCCCTTGTGTTGCATTCGCAGGTCTGGTGCCTCTGCCCTTCGAGGTGCAGACGGACGAGGAAGGCCAGCGGTACCCTGCCCTCAACGTCCGCCAGGGCAGCCTTGACGACGAGTCCCCATGGCCGGAGGAGATGGAGGGAGCAGCGGCGGCGGCTGTCAGCTCGATGCCCTCCATTCTGCCCGAGGGCGTCACCTTCAGCATGCAGAGCGACGACCCCCGCCTCTACGACGAAGACGACTACGCCGACGCCACCCTGCGCCAGCCTACCGCCCCCACCCACCTCCAGCCTCACTCCGAGCATGTCCCGGAGATCGCCTATGCTCATGGCCACAGCGCTCTTGCTGGCCCTGGACTTCTGACCGAGCGGGAGAAGCCCCTGGAGGCCGGCCATGTGCCCAGGAGACTCTCCTCTCACGGGCCCGAGCGCATCCCAGGCCAGACTCGCGGGGTGAGCTTCG